GCGATGTGAATCTCCCCATCCAATTCTTACTCGATGACACACATTTCGTGTGTTTTATGTGAGCAGTTCTGTTCAAACAGTTGGAGTAGAGAATATTGTAAGTTACTGCTAGCAAAACAATGTGAAATATGTAATTATTTTCGGTAATCCAAACACTTTTGGTAATCCGACACACCTTTGGTCCCATACCTGTCGGATTATCGAGGGACAACTGTATTATATTATATTTACTTTTTTTTTTAAATTGAAATTTTTGAAATTTTGGAAAATCAACCCAACAAGAATTACTAATGAAATTACAATATTTATCTAACAGCAACCATTTCAACCATTAACAATTTGACTGATCACATCACAGAATATTTTTGATGATTTGAATAATTTGGTTTTTTTATAATTTATATTTATATTTATAATTATTTTTATTACATATTTATTGGATGCTTCTGAGAGAGAGCAAATTAAGTTATACATTTTAAATGTTGCTGCAGATATTTTTCTATAATATACTAAATTTATCAGTCTCTATTGTACTGACTGTATAAAACTATCTAGTTACTAATGAGTTAATTTTCAGAGTATTTGGTTTATTTCACAAAGGCTAACAATTTGAATTCATATGATTATTTTTTTTATCTCTCATAATTTTAGGATGTACTGAACAGGAACAGCTCTATTTAAGTTCTAAAGTCCATTTATTATAAAGTTAAATGAATTTACAATTTTACTGTTTCCATAATATATAAATAATCAAACTAATAAAATTTAATAATTTAATTTTATAAAATTGCATTTGTTATGATATGATATGTAATATACAGGGTGTTTATAATTAAAGTTCCACTTTGAAATGGCCATAAAAGGAAAAATACTGGACACAATGTTATCAAACTTGGAAATATAGTAGTTACAGGAAGTCATAGGATTTTATTCCCTCTCAAAAATAGTTCAAAAACTCACTATCAGCAGGAAATGGCACTGTATGCAATATTATTGAACGAAATAAGTCATGAAGATATCGGTTGAAAATGTTTTTAATTATTTCTAAAATGTGTTACAAAGCATGTTCAATGTAGCATCCACCATTTTCTCAAAGCAAGTCAAACCACATTACTGTGTTCTCAACAGTAACTCTTAGCATATCTGGAGGAATGTTGTGGACATGTTAGTATATCGCATTTTTTAATTCAACCAAATTTTTCATTTTCAACCGATGTGTTCATGTGTTATTTTGTTTAACAATATTGCATACAGTGCCATTTCCCACTGGTGGTGAGTTTTTGAACTATTTTTTTTGGAGGGAAATAAAATCCCATGGCTTTCTGTAAACTATTACCAAGTTTGATAACATTTTGTCCAGTAGTTTTCCTTTTATGGCCATTTCAAAGTGGAACTTTAATTATAAAGAATTTTGATTTTTTAATATATATATAAATCACAATCTAATTTAATTTTATTTTATTTACCACATATTCAAATTTGTTTTGACCATTTGTGATGCAAAATTTGAATGTGATGAATTTATCAAGAAGTATAATAAATTTAGGATATTCCACAATAAGCTCATCACTTTCTTTGTTAAGATTCAATATAATTATAATACATACAAACACGATCTTTCAGAATTTGAGATAGTAAACTTTATTAACATAAACCAAATATAAAAAACTGAGTAATTAACTCTGAAATGTTTACAAATTATGTTTAATAAAATTTAGACTTTGTTAATTTGAAGTGATAAAAACATATATAAAATATAAAATTAAAAAATTTATGTTTCTACAAATTTTATTTGTTTTTTTACTATAATTAATCTATCATTAAATGTTAGATATAATGCATGTATAATTTTTATCTTTTTTAGATTTATTCATGTAGATTGTGATCCTAGAATTGATCAGTTCAAAGATTGTGGTACTATGGTTCCTTATATTTGTCCTGTTTGCAGTAGCCCTTCTTCACAAGTAAGTTTTGCTTTACATTAATAAGAAATTTAAATTCAGAAGTTAAAAGTTTTAAATCATTGTAATGTAGATATGATACTCGCTGTGTGTGACATAACTCAGTAAAATTATAATCAGCTGGAACTTTTCAATGTGTGGGGGCCGAGGGGGGAGAAAAATTAAAAAATCTCTATCGACGATAATATGTGATATGTATCGTCATCGTCTCCCTTGCCGTTTGGATTGCCGAGCGGTAACAATCAACGACATGTGGAAGCAGTTGAGTCAGAGATAGATGCTTCGTTTACAAACAACACAACCGTTTATTAAACACGAAAGAAGCTTACAAGATTTCCGCGATCTTGNAGTCTCTATTGTACTGACTGTATAAAACTATCTAGTTACTAATGAGTTAATTTTCAGAGTATTTGGTTTATTTCACAAAGGCTAACAATTTGAATTCATATGATTATTTTTTTTATCTCTCATAATTTTAGGATGTACTGAACAGGAACAGCTCTATTTAAGTTCTAAAGTCCATTTATTATAAAGTTAAATGAATTTACAATTTTACTGTTTCCATAATATATAAATAATCAAACTAATAAAATTTAATAATTTAATTTTATAAAATTGCATTTGTTATGATATGATATGTAATATACAGGGCGTTTATAATTAAAGTTCCACTTTGAAATGGCCATAAAAGGAAAAATACTGGACACAATGTTATCAAACTTGGAAATATAGTAGTTACAGGAAGTCATAGGATTTTATTCCCTCTCAAAAATAGTTCAAAAACTCACTATCAGCAGGAAATGGCACTGTATGCAATATTATTGAACGAAATAAGTCATGAAGATATCGGTTGAAAATGTTTTTAATTATTTCTAAAATGTGTTACAAAGCATGTTCAATGTAGCATCCACCATTTTCTCAAAGCAAGTCAAACCACATTACTGTGTTCTCAACAGTAACTCTTAGCATATCTGGAGGAATGTTGTGGACATGTTAGTATATCGCATTTTTTAATTCAACCAAATTTTTCATTTTCAACCGATGTGTTCATGTGTTATTTTGTTTAACAATATTGCATACAGTGCCATTTCCCACTGGTGGTGAGTTTTTGAACTATTTTTTTTGGAGGGAAATAAAATCCCATGGCTTTCTGTAAACTATTACCAAGTTTGATAACATTTTGTCCAGTAGTTTTCCTTTTATGGCCATTTCAAAGTGGAACTTTAATTATAAAGAATTTTGATTTTTTAATATATATATAAATCACAATCTAATTTAATTTTATTTTATTTACCACATATTCAAATTTGTTTTGACCATTTGTGATGCAAAATTTGAATGTGATGAATTTATCAAGAAGTATAATAAATTTAGGATATTCCACAATAAGCTCATCACTTTCTTTGTTAAGATTCAATATAATTATAATACATACAAACACGATCTTTCAGAATTTGAGATAGTAAACTTTATTAACATAAACCAAATATAAAAAACTGAGTAATTAACTCTGAAATGTTTACAAATTATGTTTAATAAAATTTAGACTTTGTTAATTTGAAGTGATAAAAACATATATAAAATATAAAATTAAAAAATTTATGTTTCTACAAATTTTATTTGTTTTTTTACTATAATTAATCTATCATTAAATGTTAGATATAATGCATGTATAATTTTTATCTTTTTTAGATTTATTCATGTAGATTGTGATCCTAGAATTGATCAGTTCAAAGATTGTGGTACTATGGTTCCTTATATTTGTCCTGTTTGCAGTAGCCCTTCTTCACAAGTAAGTTTTGCTTTACATTAATAAGAAATTTAAATTCAGAAGTTAAAAGTTTTAAATCATTGTAATGTAGATATGATACTCGCTGTGTGTGACATAACTCAGTAAAATTATAATCAGCTGGAACTTTTCAATGTGTGGGGGCCGAGGGGGGAGAAAAATTAAAAAATCTCTATCGACGATAATATGTGATATGTATCGTCATCGTCTCCCTTGCCGTTTGGATTGCCGAGCGGTAACAATCAACGACATGTGGAAGCAGTTGAGTCAGAGATAGATGCTTCGTTTACAAACAACACAACCGTTTATTAAACACGAAAGAAGCTTACAAGATTTCCGCGATCTTGGAAGTTCTGTGGCGGCTGCGGCCTCTGGGTCTTCCTCTCCTTTCCAAGACAGTCCCATTTTGAAGGAGTGTCCCTTGTTCGCGAAGGAACCATTCCATCACGTCTCGACGACTCCAGGACGATGCGGTCGACTTCCGTTGATGGAAAGTTGTCGATCCGAGGTCGGGAGATGGAGACGAAGATGGGTGCGAGACACACACACAACAACAGATCCGTCACTTGGAACTTTCGGGAGAAGAAGCCGTCGCGTCCTCGAATTTCCGGGGTTTTATCTGTTTTCTCTCAGATTCCCCTTTCCGATTGGTCTCCCGTCGTCACCTGATGACAATTCGAAACCTTTCGGGGGCGCGGGAGAGGTCAAAATCGAAGTTTAATTCGATCTCCAACCGGAAATGGTCGACGGACTTACATTCTTCTATTGTTTTAAAGTTAGTGTCGCGTTTTCATATCATAAAAATCTATTTCTAACTGATATATTTTTTTTCTCTAAAACAATTATTTTAATGCGAATTTTAGTGAGGGTTCGGACCTTTCCAGAGCCTCACAAATGCTATTAAAAAAAAATAATAATAATAATACTAATTCTGCTTGCTACTTTTCAGTACTGGGAACAGTATTAATCAAAACTATATCCGGTATTTATTAAAAAAATATTTTTTGCTCAAAATACTGATATATAACATTATTTTAATTTTTTTGAAAAGGAAAAATAGACACATGCTTTTGATTTATAATTGCAGTTTCACTTACTTCAAATTTATGTTCAGTCAACATACCAGTAAATTAACAGGATAAAAAAAATTAACAGTTATGAGATGTTAGTATTTTCCTTAAAAGAAATGATATAAAAATAACTCTTACTTTTAACGTTGTAACTGGAATGGTTGTGTTATATGTCAGCAAACGTTTTTGACACCCCTTCTGGGCTTTTCCTCGGGCTTTTTCTATAAATACTAAGCTAGACGTTGAGAATCGAATACCTTGTTTTGAGCCATTTATCATTCGAATCCTGAACATTTGCTGACATAATACACAACTACTCCGGTTACAAGGTTAAAAGTAAGAGTTATTTTTATTTGAATGATAAACGGCTCAAAAGAAGGTATTCAATTCTCAACGTTTGGTTTAGTATTTATAGAAAAAGCCTGAGGAAGAGCCCAGAAGGGGCGTCAAAAACGTTTGCTGACATATAACACAACCACTCCAGTTACAAGGTTAAAAGTAAGAGTTATTTATATTACATTCCGGTGAGTGGAGACAAATAAGAAATGATATATCAAAATGATAATTTGTGTGGAATATAATTTTTTAGGAAATTTGTTTGAGATGATGAAACCTGTCCAAACTAAATGATAGCAATATGTCAAATTTTAGATGTAACATGTTAATTGTGACAGACTTGCTAATGTATGTTTGAATGTTAATTGGACAACATATTGAATGCACAAGTTTGTGTGTTGATCATTGAATTTTAATATTTTATTAACCATTAGTATTTGTAAAAGATCATTGTAGATTTTTCAGCATTGAGTAAACAAACTTACCATATAATTTTTTTTTATTTGAATTTTTACAATTTTATAAATTTATATTATGGTTTGGTATAGGATCATGTTATAAAAATAATTTACCATCTTACTCTACTTATGTTTAAAATTTGCATATTGGTATTAAAAAATTAATAATAATACAGGCAGTGCCAAACTTTCAGACTTATAATGAATTTCTAAAAATATGAAAATTTGAATGTTCAAAAGTTGAGCAATAGAGTTTTATGTTGTAGAGGGATTTTGTCTCTAGGTAAGTAAGAAACAAAAATAATAAAATCTCATTAAGATGGATAGTTTTAGTTTTTTACAGTAAATATATTAAAAGGTATAAAACTATTCAGAATGTTAGAAAGGTAGATTAAACAGAAAATAGATGAAATTGTCAGAAGGGATTTTGCTGTTATTAAAATTAAAACTAGCAGAAAACAGCCATGTAGGTTAACTCAGAATTTTTATGTTGGCTGAAAATGTATAGAAAATGTAAGTTCAGATTTGGATTATGAAAAGTAGTTAAGACTATTAGAGTTTTATGTATGAAAGAGCAAATTAGCTAATAGTTGAGTGTTAAAAAGTTGGGGCTGCCTGTATATATATGTTTGTTTTTACAATGTTTTTATAGCATTTATAATATGATATTTTTCCTTCTATTTAGACAAACATGTTAATGAAGGACATGGATATTTGTGCAAGAGGTATATAAGTTTTTAAAGTCAATTATTAAATATATAATTACTAATGAATTTATTTTTGATACTATTAATGATAATTTAAATTTTGAGTTAATAAAATTACTGATTTACAATTTAAATAATTAGAAACCTTGGAATGATAAGTATTATTTTAAGTATGTATTCTCAGGGACTATTTACCAAATAAAAACAAGAAAAACAATATATATCAGTAATAAATCAGATTAACTTTGAAAAAATAAACAGAAAAATATTTTTTTGAATTTTTTTTTTAAAGCATGTAGATACAAAACTTTTTACCAATGAAAAATTGTCATGTTAAAACAAAATATTTTCATTTATAGTCTGTTAAAGTAATGGAAAAAATAATTATTTAATAAACAGATAGGAAGCAGAGTATAAAATTGGTTTTACAGTAGAGCATCGATTATCCGATCCCCGATTAACCGTCACCTCGGTTAACCGACCGCGTTCTAGTCGGCAAATTCAAATGTCTGCTAGTGATGTGGCGCTACAATATTTGGCTATGTCTTGGCTACTTTAATATTATTTTTGTTAAATTTTTGCGTGTTTTAACTGACAACACTGGCTTGACCATGAAAGGGAGGCCAGTATTTAAACGAGGCTTAATTTTCTAATTATGAGTTGTTTAAATACTGAGTGGTTGTTTGTTTTGTGAGCAATAAATTAATTTAAAAATAATTTTTAATGATACAATAGCGACGATTATTATTTTAAAGAAAAATTTGTTAGCTTAACATCGATGAAAATTCAACATGAACTAGGTTAATAGCGATATACTAATATACTAATTACATGGGATATAATACACTACACTAATAATGGATTTTTTCATACTTTTCGGTTATCCGACTTTTCAAGTATCCAACCAACCCCAGTCCCCAATCGAGTCGGATAATCGATGCTCTGCTGTATTTCCTATTCATTAAAATTGTTCTAAACATTCTAAACATCGATAAAGTGAATTTTGTCATTGCCCTGGCAAAATGCCATTGTCACAACATTAAATTTTATGTGATAAGGTGAAGAATAATTTTACCATAATTTGTTAAACCAAACTGTAAATTACCTTTACAATCTTCTCAATAAATAACCCTATTTTCAGTAATGGTTGCTTTTTACACTTTTTGACATGAACAATAGAAAGTTGTACTGTAAATGTTCCATTTTGAGTATAATAGATTTTCTTCTTTTAGTAAGCAAAGATGGGTTTTGACTTCCAATTGTAGAGTGATTCAAACATCTGGTTTTAGTGGACCAGTCTACTGTAATCACAAAATAGGTGTTAAAGTTTAAGGATGCTCATCTCTTTAACTCATTAAACACGAAATCGGCAAAATCGGTCTTATCCATTAAAAACAAAATCAGCTGATTGAAAAGTTGTTAAACTAGTTTCCTATATAAGTTCCCTTTGTAGTCTGAGGGGTAAAAACAATTTAGTCATTAGCAACAGTGATGGAGTGAGGTTTCAGAGCTTAAAGAATTAGGTGAGCATAGGCCTATGCAAGCATATGCTAGTTTGTGTATTGGGGAGGGCATACAATGATGTCATATTTGACTACTTTGTGCCAAATTTGGTTTCTTTTTTACTCTTTTGGCACCAAAAATATTTTATACTTTTCCAAACAATGTTCAACAGAAAAAATTAACAGATATTTTTTTAGTTTTTTTTTGTTTAACTGTGATATTTCGTTCAACACTTAAACAGCAAATACAATTTCCTCCTCATTTTGTTTCATTAGAAAATCATTTAGAACATTAATTTGTCTTTGTGAATAAATTTAATTTTATTTAGTAAATTAATTCAAAATATAATTTAGAGATCTTGATTGCTTGTTAAGCCTTAACTCCTTAAATTATGACTTTGACCTTGACCTAAAAATCAATATAAATTTTTGATATTATTGTGAACTAACTATTGTTCCTCTAGTGATTTATGTCAACCTGAGTTGACTATTACTTTATAAAAGCTTCCAAATAGTTGCATTGAGAAATTGGGATTAAGAGCTACTGATCAGATGAAGTAGGCTGAATTGAGATGTCTAAGATTATGAATATTTGTATTGTTATTTTTTTCTCTCTACATTATAAAGAAAAAGCAGTCTTTGGATATTACACATTAGAACAAAACAACATTTGACATTTAAACCAAGTACTTCTGTTAAGCTTTATTATTTGACATCTTCAGAGTTGATATTTAGAATCATTTTAAATTCAGAATTATAAAGAAAAAAATTTTTTAGATCAGTAACATAAATTAGTTAGTTAAAAATGAATTTAAAATGATTTGATGTTTCAAATGTTGTTGAAAATGTTAAGTAATAAAATTTAACAAATGTGTTTGGTTGATTTTTCAAAATTTATTTTATTCTATATGTAATAACTGAAGATTATTTTTATCATAAGTATATTTTCTGGTATGTTTTATAGTTGCATTTTTAGTTATAAAGAAGAACTCAAAAATCAAGAGATTTTCTCATAGATCAGTTTAAGAGGAATTAATAGTTATCTAAACATAACTGCTAGATAGTGTTGAGAGATGTCTAAAGTATATATAGAATACATTATCTAATGAAATTTGAGACATTTATATAAAAAATGCCCTGTGGTATGTTTCTGAATAACATTACGCAATAATCTGTTTAATTTAAAGTTATTTATAATTTGAATGAAGTCAGTAGGCAGTCATTTATTTTTAATGAATTTTGATTTAATCTTCAGAGTGAATCTTGATGTATTTTTATATGGAGGAAATCGTATATTTGTTAATATTAGCTTTCACATTAAATATTTATAAAATACAGTGGGTGATCGGTTAACGAACATAATCCGTTCCAAGACTTTGTTCGCTATCCGAATTGTTCGTTAACCGATTATCGATTTATCATAGGTTTTAATGGGAATTTTATTAATTCGTTCTGGAGACCGCCAAAAATAAAAAAAATATATACTTTCTTACTACGTTTATTTATACGTAATAATAAAAATACATGCATGCACAGTCTTGCGTTTTTATTAGTCATGTTTTTTCCTGTTTGAAAGGGTTAAAGAATCTGTCTAATGTCGATTGCTTTTCTCTCTTCTTCAGGATTTTTTGTAAGTAATTAATAGGATTGCAATTGTAGAAATCCCCAAGCCTCAACCTGATTTGGATGCCATTCTAAGACCGTTGTTCTGACATCTTCCCACTTCTTCAAAAGATCTTTAATAGAAAATATCGGCATTAATCCTCTTTTTCAGAAGAAAACATATATCGCCGAGTTTCCTGGTGTTTTTCATTCAAGAGTTTTTGACGTACTTTTGTCGTCAGATCGTTTCAGGTTCCATTATGAACTCTTCGATGTTCTTTAATTCTCAGATGTGACTTTTGTTACTCCTTAGCTGCTTGAGTCTTCTTGATTATACAGTATTTTTCTTAAATAAGATTGAACTACGGCCTACTGTAGACCTATTCATGCCATATTGCCCAGCAACATTAGGCATCTTCTGCCCACTTTCTACTTTTGCTATTATACTCTCACCTTTTGAAAAGAAAAAAAAACAGACGCAAAACTTAATTTGTGCCTACCTGACAGTTTCGCGGATACATAAAAGAATTGTTTTGTCAGAAAAATAAAAGGCTGGAATTACAAGGGAGAGTTTCAAAGTTCGGAGGAATACTATCCGATTGGTATATACCGGCTTGAGCGTTGATGTCGACGTCTCCCGCACTCCGAAAAGTTTCGAATTGTTGCCCGAAGACAAGAGAAGAAAAATCGGTATTCATTATTTTACGTCGCTTCTTCTTGTGTTTCGTTCTGTGCGGTGTTCGTTATCCGATCATGTGTTCATTGTCCGAACACAAAAATCTTGCGCGAAAGTGTTCGTTATCTGATCTGTTCATTAACCGATCACTCACTGTATATCTAAATAGTTATTTTAGTGTAATATTGAATTGATCACATAGAATAAATTGTCAAAATTGGTCATTAATCTGATGAAACATTATATTAACTTTTTAAACACAAAATCAGCCTTATCCATTAAAAATGAAATTGGCTGATTGAATAGTTGTTAGACTAGTTTTGCTATACAAGTTCCCCTTGTAGTCTGAGGAGTAAATACAATTTAGTGATCAGCAGCAGAGATGGAGTGAGTTTTCAGAGCTTAAAGAGATAAAGAAGCTTAATTTTTGAAATTTGATTATAAATTGTTTCTGTAAGAGAGCTAATTTAGTTTTTTAAATAGTTTCTAAATCTAATTACCAGATGGTTTTTTAAATATCTGAGGTTAAATTTTCTAAAAAATAAAATTAAAATGATTAATTTGAAATAAATAAAAGCATTTTTAATTTCAATCGATAAAATTAACTTTTAAAATATATTTAAAAATTTTAAAACATTAAACTTAATAGACATAAATTATTAAAAAAAACTTAAACTTATATTTAAAAAAGTTTTATGATTGTTTAAAATTAATTTTAGAATGATTAGTTTACATATTATGTATTAATGAAATATCTTTCTTAATCTAATTTTCCAGCAAAAATGAGAGAAGATAATACTATTTCTCCACATTTGGAAAGTGTTTTGGGTGGTTCAAAAGATTCATTTGGAACTGTTAATGAGGATTCTGTTTCAAGTATAGATATGGATTTAAATATATCTGAAAAAGTAAGTCCTGCATTTAATGTTTGGTGAAAGCTGAATTAATTTTAAAAACTATATTTGAAATTGAGATTTTTGCTTTTTATTACTACAGGTATCTTGCTGTTAATCATTAATATTTTAAAATTTAACATTATTATATTATTAGTTTCCAAACAATTAAATATTTTCTTTTTATGTAGTAAGTAATTTATTCTCTGATATAATATTTGGTTTTTTCAAAAAACAGAGTTTTATTTTGGTGTATGTTTTCAACCTTTAATATACTTTATTTGGATAAATCTTTATAGAAAAATTCACTTTTTAAATCACTTTTTTATTTTTTTTAATATTTATAAACCTAAGTAGAATTAAATAAGTACAGAATATTTTAAAGTATTCTATTATCTTTTGATATTAAAATTCATTTAATATATTTAATATATTAATTATATTTAGTCTTTGTTATAATTTAGTAAAGTTGGTTTTTTTTTTGTTTAATTTGGGTTTTTCAAATTTATTATTATGTTGGATTTTATGAGTTATTATTATTATTATTTATAGAATGCATTTCAAATCTAATTTCAAAAGGCAGAATTTTATCAGATTATACAGGGCTTTTCTGAAATTAACAGTGTAAAAGCTGATATTAAAATATAACAATGATAAGAAAATATAATAATATGATAAGTAAATGTGAAATTAGATATCTTCTGATGCTTATCATTTATAGATACTTTTTATTTAAATGATAAGATTATTCTAATACAGGGGTCGGCAACCTTTTGAGACGGAAGAGCCAAAAATTACAATTTACAAAATTTCAAAGTTTTTAAAGAGCCACAAAATTTTTTCTTGCCAACAATAAATAGTACTCGCATAAATAAAGTTTTTTGATAAAAAAAAACTAACTTATTTATTCATAAGAAAAATTGTCTTGCGTCGAAAGCAAATTAAACCTCATAGAAACATTCGACGACGGTGTCATTCGAGAGCTTCTGACTGACTGACGACAGTGACGACGTGTGTCACGGGGAGGGGTGCGGTGAAAAGCGAGTACAAGTGGCTGAGAGATAGAATCGGTGCCTAATCCTCGTTAATCAATTCAGAACAATTTTTAAATGTTTTTTTTTTTTTGGATAAAATAAATAATATTTGCATATGGAACTAAAGAGCTGCAGCTTCACATCCAAAGAGCCACATGTGGCTTGCGAGTCACAGGTTGCTGACCTCTGTTCTAATACAAAAGTCTTCAAAGATTTTATTAAAATGTTAATAGTTTTAAAGTTTTATACTTTAATTTACATTTGACTGTTGAGTAAATTAATAAATTAATTGTAACAATAAAATATTAGTGAGATAAATAAAACTTCTACGAGGGGTGTTAAAAAGTATTGAACCTTTGGTCGGCAAAAATACATTTATTGATTTTGAGGTACAAAACCATAATCCCCTTCAAAGTAGTATCCTTGGTAATGTATATACTTCTTCCAGCACTCCTGCCATTGCTGGAAGCATTGCTGAAATGCATCTTTTGGAATGGCCATCAGCCGTCACATTCCGCATGATGACTCAAATCGGGTTCCTTTTAGCGGCATTTTCAGCTTGGGAAATAGCCAAAAGTCACATGGAGCCATGTCGGTTGAGTACAGAGAGTGACGAACCACAGGAATGTTTTGTTTGGCAATGAAAGTCTGAATTGGATGCGCAGAATGGATGGGCGCATTATCATTCTGGAGCTGCCAAGTTTTGGTTGACCACAGATCCAGTCGTTTGCATCTCACAACATCACAAAGACAATGAAGGACCTCCTGGTAGTACTCCTTTGTGATGGTTTGGCCTTGTGGTGCGTACTTATGATGCACCACCCCACAGGAGTTGAAAAAAACTGTCAACATGACCTTGACATTACTGTAGACCTGCCGTGCTTTTGTTTGGTCTCGGGGATGTCGAATGTTTCCACAGTGACGACTGCATCTTGGTTTCTGGGTTGTACCCATAAACTCACGACTCATCACCTGTGATTACGGTGTTCAGGAAATTGGGATTACTGCTTGCATTGTGCAGCATGTCCTGTGTGATTTCCAGACATTTTTGCTTCTGCTCCACTGTTAGCAGTTTTGGTATGAATTTCGCGGACACTCTTTTCATACCCAAATCTTGGTCAAAATTGAATGTACCAATCCAATGCTTACTCCTGTCTCGTTAGCAAGTTCTCTGACTGTGATACGTCAGTCCATCATGACCGAAATCAGCACTTGCTCAATGACAGTCTCATTTCGGCTTATTGAGGGTCTGCCTGAACACAGTTCGCTGTCCACTGATGTGCGGCCATCTTTGAAGCGGATGTACCATTCCTTTATCCGTGTGTTGCTTATGGCATTGTCCCCGAAAGCCTGTTGAATCTTGTGAATGGTTTTTACTTGGGTATGAACAAGCTTTTGGCAAAATTTGATGCAATATTGCTGCTTGTGTTGTTCAGTCATTTTCAAACTTCCTGGAACCTGATGAGTGCTCACTATACGTCCTTACTCATAGGCTGACTGCCAGCGACTGATGCTTCTTGCGGCGGAGAAAAATTCAGGACTACGCATGACTGTCCCTTCCACATCTCCACTGAAGGAGGCCTCCATGCATCATTGGAAAAATGAAGGTTTGATACCTTTTGAACACTCCTCATATTTTATAAGTTTTATTATCACAATGAGAAAATGGGATGATGATATTAGCATTTAGATAGTTGCTGTCCATTAATTTAAAGTAGTCTAAAATAAAAATAATATATAAACATATCTGTATAATTTATGAATGGAAGTGAAATAGTAAATAAATAGAAATTGTGACATACTAAGCAATTAAATATATATATAAAATTAAAATAGTTTGCTGAAAGTGCTAGCAAAAATTAAAAAACTGTTAATGCTGCACTCAGTGTGTCTTTACTTCCTTTTATAGTTCTTTTATAGTGTTTTTACTTTTATAGATGATTTAATTAATATAATATAACTATTTAATTTTATTTGTAAAGAAAATCATAAGATTTTATTCTCTTATTAAATTTTTATTAAAATTGCAATAGAATAAATATGCTGTTTTATTGAATTAATATTTAGTAATATTTGTATGAAATGAAGGGTTTATTATGATTATTCTGATTTTCCTGAATTGTGTATTTCATTCAGTCATCACAAAAGTTAGCACATCTATGGGATGGTCAAAAAATTGATGAAAACACTTGTTATGGTTGTCAGATGTTCATTTTTGTACACAGAATCATACAGATATCTTAATTTCTCAAAATATTTTCCATCGGAAACAATGCATTTCTTCATTTTTGAAAACTAGCCTGAGAAACACACTTGCAAATCCACCTTAAAAAATTTGAGTAACTCTTCTTTCATTGCATTCACCAGTTCCTTTTTTGAATCAAACTTTCTTCCTTTCAAATTTCTCTTCATCCTTGGGAAGAGGAAAAAGTCACAATGTGCTAGGTCTGGTGAATAAATAGGATGTGGAAGCTGACCATCTTGTAGGACTCCAAAAACAACTGGGTCATTTTGGCTCTGTGTTCAGGAGCATTATTGTGATGAATCATGATGTGTAGCTCTTGGATCTTGGACGTTCTTCAAAGCACATTTTTCAAGCAAACAGAAGAGTATCATCCTCAGTCATCACATCACCTTGTTCTAGGATGACAGGTGGAAGGATGCCATAATCGTAGAAAAAATCTGACAATGACTTTTCCAATACTATGCTCTCAGAGAAACTTTATGGGGATGTCCTTGCCCTCAGCTACTCACTGCTTGCTCTGGTTTTTAGATTCAGATTTGTAATAGTAAATCCAGGTTTCACACCTGTCAGTATGTTGGTGACTGTTTCTAACATTTTAACATTAAATTTCTTCAGTAAGAACTTGCAAAACTTCACATGGTCCTTCATGTGATTTGGCTGCAACTAATGAGGTATCAAACATTCACACAGCTTCCTCATATGCAAGTGTTCATGCAAGATGGTAATGACTGACCCCTTGTGAGATGTTGAGGTTGTATTCTAGTTCTCTGGTACTTATCCATCGATCTTCATCAAGACGAACCTTGGCAACATCAATCTTGTTTGGAATTACCATAGCCTTTGGATGCCTTTGATGTTCATTGTCATCAATATCGAAGCACTCAGATTGAAAGCACTGATACCATTTGTACTTAGTAGACTGGAGTTTGCTCACAAAGTGCTCATTAGAGAGTTTTGAGACACTGCACTGCTGAATCTCCCAGGCAAAACTGCACCAAAATTGCAGCTTTCTTGTCACATTCAGTCAAGGAAGGCAAAGGCTTGATTGATACACTTACAGAAAGATTGCCAATCTCCACGATGTTGAAACAGATTGCCACCTTGCATATGTGTTTCAGGAACTTCTACCAACACACAGATGAAACACTATTGCAAAGTGGCAATTTTAAAATATATTTCCACAAACTTTCTGACTAACCCTCGTAGCTATTAAAATCATATAAGTTACAATTTATATAACTTAACTGCTTATATGGTTTTCAGTGCCTAGATGTCTTGGCTCTAGTCATCACATACACAGTCCTAAATGTAGTAACATATAATAGAGAAATACATGCAGTAATGATAGAAATAAAAATATAATTTAAATAAAGCAATGTACAGGTATTAAATGAACAATAATATATAAAAAAAAATTGAATTTCTGGTTTTTTTCATAAGATAATTAAATATTGAAATTAGGTTTAATTTGCACTTAGAGAATAGCATTAAAAATATGTATACAGGTATCCCTCATATAATATGGTAATTATGTTTCAAAAAAGTGCTGTGTTATGCAAATCTGTGCTATACAAAACAAGGGACTAATGCAAAACATGATGGTTAGATTCCAGAAGTTAGCAAAAGTATACTATTCATTTTCATTACTAAGAGAAATATGTTTATTAAAGAATCAATGATTTACTATTTCCATTCAATAATTAACTAACAATCACAATTAAAAGTACTGTATTATG